ATTAAATATATAAAATTATTAAATTAATTAAAATTATTTTTTTGACCCATAGGATTGACCCTGCCCCAACCCCCATCAGCCCATTGATTTGGTGGGTTGGCCCATTTAGGCCTGGTTCAAATATGAGTCAAAATTTTTCAACTCAATCCACTTCATATTAAATAGAAAATGAGTCGGTCCGATGGGTCAGGCCCATTTTAACAGGTCTAATTACAAGCAAGATAGTAAAGTAATTTGACAAAAGTTGGAGTCGATATTATATACCGGGAGTAGACAAAAGTTGTAAGAAACACAAACCAAAAAGCTATTACATAACTTGCCGCTACTAATAAAGTGATAGAATTTTTAGAAGATATTTTTTTAAAAAGTAATTTTTTAAAAAATTTAAATATAAATGTGTGAGAATAAAGATAAAATTATATAAAATTATAATTAGATTTTTTAAAATATTGATAATGGGAATAATTACTATAAGAATAAAAAAAAATCAATACTTACTTGTCCAAATATTTAATATTAAAAGAGTAATTTTTAAAAAATTTTAAATATAAATGTGTGAGAATAAAGATAAAAAAAAAAAAAGTTGAATATAACTTTGGCATGATGCACAAATAAGATTCTAAGCTATTCAAGAAAATTCATATCAGTTATTATTCTTTTATTGCCTTCAATCAAACTTCTATATTTTTATTTTGAGTCAAATAAGTCTTTATAAATAATTATTAACTAATTTTTATTAGTCAAAATGTCCCGTGTCATTTATATCCACATAACAGTAACATAATGTTAATGTAGAGGGTAAAAATATCGCATGGTTATGGTATCATACCTAATTAACATGTCATGTTTCATCAATTATAATATATTAGCATGCAACGTTAGTGTCATGTGACATAAAATGACAACTAGTATTTTGATTAAATCAATAATTAGTTATAAGGGTTTATTTGATTTAAAATAAAAATATAAAAGCTTATTTGACTCAAAATAAAAGTACAAAAATTTGATTGACCTAAATATAAAAATATAAAAGCTTATTTAAATTTTTTTAAATAGTTTAAAGGTTTTTTTTGGATATTGTGCCTATAACTTTCCTAAAATCATGACCTAAATATATAATAATAACAGGTTAAACAAATCAAAATAAAAGATCAATTTTTTTTACAATATTTTAAAGTAATCTATATCTACTTAAACTAGCCAACAAAAGTTATTACATAAATATTTCAAATTTAAATGTTTAAAACGTAAAATATTTTTAAATTTTAATATATCTACTTAAAAGTAGCTAACAAGAGTTATTATATAAAAATTTCCAATTTAAATGTTAAAAATGCAATAATTTTTAAATTTTAATGTAAATACATGGAAATAACGATATAAATATATATAGTTAAAATAAGCCTTCTTCAAATTTTAATCTAAATGTATAAAAATAAAAGTAAAAAGTCGGAACATAACCAAATTATTAGGTTTTATTTTTGTAAAAGATTTTAAATTAATTCGTATTCTCTTTTTATAGAGTAAATTAAAAACATTATTGTCAAAAGTCATATTTAAATTTTAATGTAAATGTATGGAATAAAAATAAAGTATTAGTAGTTGAAATTAGTATTTTTAAATTATTAACATAAATGTATGAGAATAAAAATAAAAAGTCATATATGACCATCCAAAAAAACAAAATCAATATTAAGTTTTATAAAATGATCTGTAAAGAATTTGTATACATAATATATTTACAATATTAATTTTTTAAAAAAGTAACATTTTTTAAATTTTAAAGTAAATGTATAAGAATAAATATACAAATACTAATATTTGAAATTTGC